TTCGAGGCTACTCACTCGGAGCAGTAAAAGAAATCGACGAACTCCGTTTACGAAAAAGACCGCTTCTGAAAAGGAGTTCGCTCTGTGCCGTGTGTCTGCTGTCAGGAACTCCTTTTCAGAAAAAGACCGCTTACTTAAAAGACTTTCAAGTGCCCGTGTCACAGGGGTATCATCTAGATACGTGAGTGCGCATAATATGTCTACTTGTGCTTACTGTATACAACGTTCGTCCGCCTCGTAACGTTGTGCTGATTTTAAAGTAACATATCAACCTTCCTCATTCGTGCTTCGCATATCGATTCCCGCGGTAAATGGGATCTCCCTTTTTTTTTCGTTTAGTTTCTCAGGGACTTCACTGACTAAAGCTATGCGCCTCGTGCGCAGCTGCTGCTTTGAGCGGTGCCAACGGTGCCACTAACGGCAAACGGTGGGAGCAGATCACGCTGCTGAACTTTTGCCCGCTACTAATCGTATTTTTTTAAAATCACTTTATATCCTTATTTGACATTTTCACTGCCAACGCTGCTCCGCTAGATAGCCATGACGTTTGTTACGTCAATGGTTTTTTGTTTGTTTGCTTAAAAATTACAAGGGCTCTTTTTATGGCTGTGTGCGAGCGCGGTGTAATGCATGTGGTTCTAATGCGCATGCTCGTGTTCTGAAAACCAGTTTTCGTGTTCGGAAAACCAGTTTTCGTGTTCTGACAACCAGTCGCTACACGGTTGAAAACTATAGCTTGTCATAGGTTAGGGGGGCCCTGCAGCACTTTTTCAAGTTGCCATGGAATGGACACTAAAGGAGCTTATTGCCTCACGAATTCACCGCCGCGCATTTTTTTTAATCCGTCCAGTATGAATGGGGTTACAAAGATTTGTCGCACGCTGCGAGTGCATTCTTTCTTCTCTCGTCCCGACGAAAGCACTGGAAGCTACGAAGCAGAGAGAGAATACGTCACACGAGCCTCGTGATCTTGAGCACCTTTTTTTTTTATTCAAATACGGGGCTTCAATGCAATCACGCGTGGACAAGCCAAGGCCTCCCGTGGTGGCCCCTGTAACGAACGAGCGCGCCATACTCCACTCAGTCAATGGCTGATGATATGGCTGTGACGACTCGTCACAGCCATATCAATTACTCGTCACTGACGAGTAATTTTCGATCTTGGTCCATCATTTGTCGAGAAAAGAGAAATCAATTTTTATCTAACTTCGACAATTTATTGGGAGTTCCATACCGCGTACGAGCTGTGCTATGATATTTGGCTCGCATGTTCGCGGCAGCCTCGACTACTGATCGGACGCGTTTTCTTATCATGCTCAAGTTCTGCAGCTGGGGCAAAAGTTACTTCTGTTGTTTGGCAACACGACTTATTGTGCACATACAAATCCACTTGAGGGACATTTTTAACTGAACGTTTCGCTTGTCACTGGTACATAATACCAATTTCGACAGCCCCCTCCCCCCTCCGAAAAAAAAAGAAGCCCCTTGTGAAATTGTTGTCAGACAGGACCGCCAACTGACCATTGTCAATAGACGGATGATTGATTGACAGGTGAGGTTTAACGTCCCAAAACCACCACATGATTTTGAGAAACGCCGTAGTGGAGGGCTCCGGAAATAATTTCGACCACCTGGGGTTCTTAACGTGCACCCAAATCTAGCACGCCAGCCTACAACGTTTCCGCCTCCATCGGAAATGCAGCCGCCGCAGCCGGGATTCGATCCCGCGACCTGCGGGTCCGCAGCCGAGCACCTTAGCCACTAGACCACCGCGGCGGGGCCTGCCTAGCTCTACTGAATCCACCGGTATATTTTCCAGCGCACATATATACCTGATCTTTTCAATGTGCACGTAACCTAGACTCCTTTAGAGACACTGCACGGTTTTTAGCCATTATACCACACTGCTTCGAAATGCATTATCCGGATTTGGCTTCCATCAGCCGGTGAAGCTGACACAGGAAAAAGGCGGGGTGCGCCGGCTTCTCGCGGAACTCGGCAAGATTTTTAACAAAACTTAATTAGGAGCCCTTTTTAAGAAATGGGGGCTCTGGCACGTGTACCTGCAGCCTACTGTTTTATTTCTTTCGAATTGAACAATGATCGCTCCTAACGTAAGCGTTTATTTTTATGTATTTCCATATAAAAAGCTTTTCTTTATATATTGTTCTTTCGCTGCTCGCTCTCTGAGTTGACTGGTTCATCTCATAGAGCGAGCAACGAGGGTTTCTTCGTCGGACGCACACGTGCATATGGTTCAGGCAGCTGCCATTAGGCATGTAGACCGCGTATACGAAGAAAAAAAAACAAAAAAAAATGCTCAAGGTCACGAGTGACGTGTGTTGTTTGCCCCTCCCATCCCTCCCTGCTCAGCTTCCAGTGCTTTCGTCGGGACCAGAGAAGAGAAAAAATGTGATAGCGTTTTTGTTTAGTTTTACTTCAAAGTAACATTATGGGGACGGAGCGCTGTTTTGGGGCTGAATGGGCACGGCGTTTTTCGTGTTCTTGCCAGCATTCGTCAGCTTCTAGAACGGTTGAACAAAAACACCGTCACACGATAATAACGCACGTTAGGACTTCAACTCGACCGTTTTCGGAATTTTCGTGAATTGCGCAATCCGCGCTGAAATCTTGCGGTTACACCATGGAACTGTTGGACGAGGCTGATCGAAGGTTTTGGGACTTCCCATTGGACTTCCGAAGAGCCATTGTTCTTGTTTGCACAGCGTGTCTCTGAGCGGCCTCGGCTCGTTGCTGTCTATAATGATCTGTGCTGGCGCTCGACGTCCTGCTTGTCCTCACTGAACTTATTTCACTCGGCGCCGACGATTTGCTGCTCCATGCCGTTCAGGAATTGAGAATACTACTGCGAAGGAGCATCACGTGACAATTTGGAAGCCGAGCGCCGCATAAGATGAAACACATCGGGACCAGCGCATGGAGAACAATGGAAAGCGGAATCCGCGGATGTTGGTTAGTGGACGCTGGGCACTCGTTAGTCTTTTTTTTTTTAGTCCAAGCGCAGCAAAAAGAAAATGAAGCGGAACATCATTAGAAGTTTTTTGCGAACGCAGAGAGCTAGCGGCTTCAGAGGAGGCTGGCTTGTGGACACTATACTGTTTCACTCATCATGTGCAACGTTGTAGAAGCTATAGCGAGACTTCTTGCAGTCGTTGCGTTCACAACAAAAAATAGTTCGACGCTCTTACTACCAATAATTTAGTTTTTATTTCTTCGTTATTACGGCGAGAAGTAACTGAAGACATTATGTGCCTTACAAAGAAAACGCCGTTGAACGTCTGTTATTATGTGGCTGTATAACTCAGTTTTCACGTGACGTCACACACAGGCTCTCTACTCTGGGTACGTCACGATGGCGGTCACCTGGACTTTGTGTCAGTGCAGGATAAGACACTGCGAGGTCGTTCGGTACCCGCGTTCCTTTGTGCCCACCCCGCTTTTTTCTGTTCGCCAGTGGCGCCAAAGAGGAACACAAAGAAACGCAAGGGTGCACCGGCACTAATCAGATGTCACGCGAGCGACCACGAAACGCGCGGAGTTATACGTTTTGCTGGCCTAACTTCTTGCATAACTTCAACAGCGTTGCGCCTTATGTATGAAACGGAGTGTAAACGAGCTTCATACGTGTTTTTTTTCTCTAAATGCTTCGGCCGTAAGCACCACCATGCGCATGCACGTCCCCTCCCCTTGTTCCCCCCTCTCGCCTCGCAACGTCGACGCAGGCAGCGTCTGCTAGCGAGTTTCTTGATTGAAAAAACCAACTGCTCGCGTTGCACAACTGCTCACCAGCAACTGGATCTTGACCTCCAAGGTAGTTCCAGTCGGAGATTTCTCCGGTGCATTGTTGAACAATAAAAATTCGCAGCCTGCGCGTTAACTAAAAGCAGACTGCGGGTCCCTGCGTCTTCTGTCTCTCATTGCCCATTAGCAGCGATTTGCATGTTCGAGTAGGAAAGACCGGTCCATTACTGCATGCTTTTCGCCTTCCAGGATTTCTTTCCTGCGCAAATTTACGATGAGCGACAGCGTCAACGTCGTTGCTAGTGTAAGCGTTAGCGGCTGCTGCTTCGCATCTTCACATGATTCTCTTTAGCGGGAGATGGCGTCATTTTTTTTTCGTTTGCTATCCCTGTATGGCATCTGGTTTCTTCTTAGCGAACTTCACTGGCTTCATTTGGTGGGTGCAGTGCAAGGGTGAATTAATTGGCAACTTAAAGCAAACAAACACAACACCGCAAATCAGTTCTGCGGAAGCATGCAAGATGGAAGACAGTTCACGAACTTTGCTCCCCCCCCCATAAAAAACTTCCTTTTCAATAAAGAAGATTAATAATGTAGGATATATCTGTGCACTGTACCTTACAAAGTCTAGTGTTTACACAGGTGCAGAATTGTTCGCTGCACTCACATTGGTATGAGTACTTTCAACAAAGAGTTCACTCCAGAGAAATGAGGCAGAAGTGGGAGAGGACCTGAAAGGTAGAAAAAGTTCAAATTAGGAGTCACCTGCCAGGTTTGCCAGGAGTGAAAAAGGCTCAAGTGGGGCGTTGGGAAGAAGCAATGTGTGCTTGTTAGATAAGTTCCGAAAATGTGTGTGCCCACTCTCCCCAGAAATTTCGGCTGGGGCCGCCATTCGCCTGCATAACAAGTCCTTGGGCTATGTTATTGGCACCCCCATCTCCAGGATTTCCAGAGTGAACCACCTCCCACAGGAGTTCTTAGACCACATTCTTTTTTTGCTGCCCTGCAGATATTTCCCCACAGGGGAAGTCCACCATCAGAACATGAAAGCCTCCCAAGTACTGCAGTATCAGACAGCTTTTCTGTGTGAACCATGGTGCCAGTGCAATGGTCCTGCACAATCTGGACACATATGAGCAATGTGAGGGCCTTGCGGTGGTTCAAGGCCTTAAAGGGGTACAGACTCGCTTGCCCATTGAGGCTTTTTTTTCCTTGGTGTAAAAAATATACTTAGATATTTTTAAAAGCTTGAGCTTTATTGTATAGTTCAGCTTGCATAAAACGTGTTTGAATTTTTATGCTGATGCCAGTCATTATGAAGCATCGCTTACACTGTCACAATGGAGAATGCAGTCAAGTTTCATAATAGATTTTATGCATACAGAAACATGTGAAAGAGTTGCATTACATGTCAGGTCACATGATATTAACAAATGTTTAATTACTTAACATAATTTTTTAGCCTGGCATGATTTACAGCCATTCCTTGTACTACAGCTCGATCAAGGGTCAAAGGAAAGAAGCATATTTCTTTTTGTGATAATTCTGAAAAGACTCAAAACTTGGTTGCATGACAGGGCACGCCTCTGGTTGTGAGGCTTCTTTTGCTCTTCATGTCTGTGCAGCACATGGGCTTTACTTCCTTAGTTACAAGAAGCTAAAGTGGTAACCATGTGTCAACAGAGAAAAATGAAAACTCTTGAGTTTATTTTGTAGCATACCACGTACATATTTGTACTTCATGTAAACTGGCATAGAAATCAAATGGATGATTGATATGTGGGGTTTAACGTCCCAAAACCACCATATGATTATGAGAGACTCTGTAGTGGAGGGCTTCGAAAATTTTGAACACCTAGGGTTGTTTAACATGTGCCAAAATCTTAGCACACGAGCCTACAGCGTTTTCACCTCTATCCAAAATGCAGCCACCGCAGCCGGGATTCAATTCCTCGACATGTGGGTCAGCAGCCGAGTACCTTAGCCCACAGACCACCGCGGCAGAGCAAGAATCAAATGGAATGAACAGTGTTGCTTTAGTTACATTTGTGCACAACCAACTGAAATTTAGAGCTATCAAATCAGCTGCATCATGTAAACAATACCACCGCAAAAATTTGCCACATCTACCAATTACATTAGGTTGCACAAGAATATAGTTTGACAGCCGCATTAAGTTTCATTTACCTTTTGTACAGCTGTAACGCCTGAATCACAGTTGAACGGCAGATATCATCTATTTGACATTTTCAGAACAGTGCTTTTCGGTTTTTCTTGCCTTCGCGCATGTTGGCAAGATTTTCACGTGGCAATGATTGTGCAGTTTGTTTGGGTCACTTCTTTTTATGTTTTCATTTTTATTTTTCTAAAAAACCTGCCAGTTGCCAGTAAGCCTTCATAGTGTCCACTTTTTGTCCTGTCATTTGTGCTGCTTTAAACAATATGGAACCATACCAACTAGCCCAGCTGTCGACCTTGACACATAACAATGGTAACCAACAACTGTGCTTTCCCCATCATAAAGACAACAGCCAACACAGAACTTGGCATAATTAATATTTGTTATCAAAAAGTTCATTTAAAAGAGTGCATTCTATACATGGGAACACTGAGATACAAAGTAATATTAAATGGTCAACAAAAAATTGCACTTAAAAACAAGAATCAACAGACAACAACACCATAAAAAAAACTAACAAAGGTAATTTACACCTTAGCCAGAGAAGGAACTACTACAAGCCACTCATACCTACTGCACAACAAAATAGAGATGCCTTCTTGATGCTTCTTGTATGAATTGTGTCACATGAAAAGTCGTCATAATAAGGCACCTCACAAGTAACATCATTCTGCTAAGTGTCCTACGCTGAGCATTTATACAAAATATAAAAACAGGTCACTACTCATGTATGCAGGCTCCCTTCTATGTTACTTTCTTACAACAAACAAGGACGCAAATATTAGTACATTGGGAAAGGGCATAATCGGTAATATGTTCACATGATCAGGTTTGGCTAATGTTACTCATGAAATGGCGATTCATTTCACATGAACTAGAGCTTATTATGTTCAAGCATTTGGGGGCAGCAGCTAGAAAACACTTAATGACCCTCATTGCCTGCAGTGCTTACATAAAAAATGTATGTTGATTTTCACGTCAATAAACATGCATGTAACGAAGCAGCCCATTATTGACAGTCATCTTATGTAAAGAAATAAACCTTCACTTCTTACAAAACTGTATTGAAGGTTGTTTGTGTAATACCATGCCACAAAAGTATTTCCTACTGTCATTTCTTACTACACATACGATGAGTAACAGACAAAGGGCTCAACAAAGTCTTCTCCAGCACGGCAAAAGTTCAATCAAGACACAATGTCTTGATCCTCGTGCATGTACCCCTTGAACACCTTGCAGCAAAGTGTCTACGCATTCCGAGGTCTTGCCGTAGGAGTCTGTACCAGCCTCTCACATGCTGCAAAATTTCAGTGTCTTAGTGAAAGCAGGAAAAGGCACATTACAAGAAAGTCGTAAGTTCTGTAACAAAATATTGTATACATTTAGTGGTGTTATGCTTGCACAAAGGCATGGTGGTTCACAAAAAGCGTCTTTCGGAATTCAGGATTTAGGACTGCATTCTATGACGGAACAGAACACTGCACTACTCTATGAGCACCAAGCATAAGCATATGATTCCAGGAACACACACAGCAAAACTGGTATTAGAGATACTTTTTCAAAAGTGAAGACAAATTCACGTCATAAAATAAACTTTTATATTACTTTAGTTTTAATTTGAATGTGGAGTAACTCTTGCTCAAGCTTACATGCTACACTACTCATTTGCTGATTGCTTATACATGACATAGAATAGCCAACCCAATCTGCCATAAGTTGTTACCTACATCAACTTGTATCCAAACCATGACAAGCTTTGAAAGTCAATAGCATAATCAATGGGCTTTTTACATGCCCAATTACTCTTATTTTCTGAATCACCAGCATACTGATCTGTAGACCATAATCATCTGACAAGTCCACTGAAAGAAATTTTTAAAATTGAGAAAAGAGAGAATTCGCAGCCACCTAGACAGTAGCATAAGCTTCTATAAAACCTAATACTACAGGTTGTTCAGAAACATCATTTCAAAGTTGAAGCAAAATTTTTTCTTGGCCATGGAATAAAACCAAGACCATTTAGCATTACTACTATTTGTTTTCTATGGATCTGTATGTATCTTTGTCGAAAAGGGGCTTTGCCTTTTGCGTTATAAACACAATTTTTCCACCAAAATTTGCTGCAGAACTTACCAAAACTTTTGCGCATCAAAACTCTGCATTGCTGTGCCTACCCGTTGTTTATTGCTTGCTGCAGTAACTTCTCTGTTTTTCATTGAGATTCTTAGCTCATGCGAGTCGTTGTCTACCGCCATTGTTTTGAAGACTAGTCCAACGAACATTATATGATATTTGTTTTTCTTCCCTTTCTATGATGCTGCATGTTTCGCCTTGTAGACAGCATCTCCTTCAAACAGCAGTCACGAAGCCTGTGGTCTTATGCTTTGGTATAATGTTTTGAAAGTACTGACAATTGAGCTGCAATGGAAAGGAAGCCGCAGGAATCGCATTAAAAAAGAAGACAAGGAATATGCATGTGTTTGTCTTAGCCCCAACATATGAATGTACTAGCTTTAAAAAAAAAGCAGCGGAAAAGAGCTCGCTGGGGAGACCGAGAAACATATATTGCAATTCCTCATTAGCATTAATGATAATGAAACATCTAAGAACTTGCAGAAAAACAAATTAATCTTGCTGATGGTGCGCACATGTCGCCATAGACACCAGTCAAGTTCGTAAGCAATAATTTTCGGAAAGCTATGATAATGTCAACACAACAACAGTTACCAGTGCATACAGTTAAAAATAAAAATGCTCATATATGCTGCTGCCACACGATCGCTTCATCGAGGCATCATTCTGGTATGCCTTATTCATTTATACAGACAGACCAATGTAAGAATTCACGTCACATAGTTGGCCTTTAGGGATTGTCTGCCTTTCATGCAAGAAGCTTATTCAGGGATACCCATCGCAAGGACTGCATGCGATTTGCACTCACTGTACATATAATACATATTCTGTCAGATTCTGTAAACAGGTAGTGCCTGTAAACCCTTCTCTGCTTTCTTTCATCCAAAATTATTATTTTTGCTTTAAATTTTGCCTCCTTTCGGATACACATTCACAAAAATGCCCAGGAGGCCTTCTGCATATAGTGTTTTCGCACAGCGCCAACAACCAAACCATGATCTCCTCTATAAGCTTACGACCTGCTCATGCCGCCGCTCCCAGTGTCGCCATATTTGCTTTGCTTGTTTATTTTTTTTAGTTCTCTAAAGTGCCACATCACTAGGAACAGCACGCCATGGCACTACAACTTACCCCCATCGCTGCAGCCATCAAACCGCTTTTCTGCAAGTGCGCACGTGCGTTCGCTCGTGCACACGAGTGTACCATGACGTTCGAGCATCTTCTGCGATGGGGGTAAGTCGTGGCGGCACATGGCGGCATCTCTGGTCCCTACGCGCCAATTTTTAGGCCCAGACGCCTCCGTAGGGGTGGCACCGGTGAGCAGGTCATAAATTTATAGATAAGGTCGTGAACCAATCATACGAGGAGTGCACCGGCGTTATTCTTTTTTGCACACAAAAGGGGCATGAATAAAAGCAGCTTGTTGGCCACTCATTCAGCAAGTCATTCTCTCTGTATGAAATATCATTGCATGACCAACCTTAAAAGACAATAAATTTAAGGTAAGACTTTCAGTAAAATATACAGCACACTAGGAACCATCTGACTCAGCAGTACTATAAATTTCTGCAAATCAAGTAGGACTAATTGTTGGCACAAATTTCATAATCAATGTCTTCATCCCTCTCAGCGCCACACTACTTAGAAACAGTTCGTTCACACACAATGCATTTTAGAGACACTGTACCTGCAGCATGTAAGCAAGTAGCCCTACAAACATTTCATATGTGCAAGATTTATTTATGATGTAGGAAGTGGTGAATTGGTGCTTTTTAGAACATACAAGCTTTTCACCCAAGATTTGTAAGTTACTGCTTGAGAAGTGAAGTTACTCATGCAGTTAAACAAACACAAAAAGAGCCCTTTTTGCTTCATAGCATCACCAACATGCCTCTAGTTGTCTCCCCTTAAAAAGCAGTTGTATAGTTTTAAACCTTAGCTAAAATTATGACTTGTACAGTTTGTTTAAATGAGTTTATTGCGAGGCTCATTTCTCACCTGATCAGAGTCCAAGATTTTTGCCATACCAAAAGACATACTTCCTAGAAGCTCACTGCGCCTGAAATTAAAAGAAACAGAAACTCATAAAACATGGAAAAAAGAGGCATAACAGACAACCTTACTTGTTTTCGAAATCTCGATGCCATGCTGTCACCAAAAGACGCTTTCCAGCATCGTCTGCCATGAGCTCACTGAAATAAAAATAATAGGCAAACTATTACTAAATATATTTACATATCATTCTAAGCTACTAGCTATGCAACAAATCATCATCATGCAACAGTCATATGCTGACAAAAACCCAAATGTTACATAAATAATTGCAGGTACGAAGAAGGCAAATGTTCTGGTATAATGTTGCAGGACAATCAATCAAAATACATGAACATGCAACACTATTATTTTAGCTGATCTTCACATTTTTAATATGCGGCATTCCTCGACACCATTACACTTGCTGTCCTGCGTCTCCTTGAGTTCATACAAGAGTAACGCAAAAGGTCATTGCATGTAACGAGAGACATCCTGTTTCAGCTAGTTCACATACCCAGTAAAAATGTAGTTTTCATAAAGTTTGGGAATAACGGCTAAATGAAATGTCACAGGACTAAGAGCCTCCACCATACGGAAAGGGCCAGGAAACCGGAGACAAAAACTTTTCATAGTGCCGAGGTAAATAGTGAGTACTGAATCATGACTAAATTGTCTGGTTGGAATGAGCTAGGAGGATTCTGCTGAGGAGACTTGTACTATGCTTGGTGATGCAGTATAGCTAGCCAAGCTTGGAGGTGAGGCCATCACAGGGACTCACTATAGCCAAGTATTGAGAGGTGTTCTAGCAAAAGTAGTACGTCCAAACCAAGGTTTTCTTGCATTAACCTTGGCATCCACCCGTAGAACAACTGGAATGGCATTTCCCAAGTTACTTCCTGATAGGACTTGTGAAAATCACAGCAGCAACGTAGTCATCCCAGCCATTACGTGTGGTAGAAAAGTAGCAAGAAATGTATTTTTTGGTGCAGTTGATGCATCTGACAAGTTTATTTTTCTGTGGATGTTGAGGGCATGCTGCAGTGCGGCTTATTCTATGCTTAGACAACGCTTGAAGGCCCGTGATATGAAAGCTGTTCCATGGTTCGAAATCAAGAACTTCCGCATGCTATGCAGGTGGTATATGAACTCCGCATGCTATGCAGGTGGTATATGAAACATTAGAAATACCTATTTTGAATGAGCAAGACTCATCCTAACCAGAGCATCGTCAAGCTGCCTTAGACAAGCAGAGTTCTTCCTACCAGTACAGGTTCTCCGCTGAGTGTTCAGGAAGAAAAATACTCGTCCAAGGTTCAGATCACTTGTCACTCACCAGATGGAGTAACTTGTTTAGTGACTTTGGTTTCTCCTGCAACAGGAGTGGGCCTTTTGTGTTGAAATCACTGCATTCTGCCATTCGGTGACAGCAACGCATGCATAGTCGGTCATCAACTTGAAAAAGCTTTTCATTTTTGTCCCCTTATTTTAGTGAGGATATGTGGATACTGATGTTCACCTTATGTAGGGAACAGAAAAATATATTGATGACACTGAATCGAGCTGTTATTCTGGTGCTAATGAGAACATCTCTGAAGTGAACATCGCGAATGCTTGTCAAACATACAGCTTGATGTTGACAATCCTCGTGCGAAGTCTTCTTGGTTTCAATTTTTGGCCGTTCCATGTAAGACTTTCAATATGATATCATCAGATGACTTCCTAGAGTACATTAAACAGTTCCTTCACAATACTCATTGTACTAGTAGATGAAACATATCGCAATGCAGCTGAAGAGCTAAAACACACTCATTCCACTGAGGACCTCAAAATTTGGTGCAAATGTTTTTACATCGTATAGCTACTTTTCAGCTCAGTATGAATCGAAATAAGCAATAAAAAATAGCCACTGATGGTGAGTAAACTCTATTATGAAAAAGAAAAGGACTTATTGGGTTAATAAAGGTCATAACATGGATAGCTGCTGAGTCAGGGATGGCTCATACTTCTATCCACTCAGCCAGGTAGTTCATTGCACATTGAGAAATTTTTTGCATTGCTTGCTGCGAGAAACAGGCCAATGTGATCAATGCCCACGACATCGAACAGTTCATTAGAAAGTACGATTAGAAGCAAAGGAATAGGAAGTCACTTTGTTAGTTTGCAAGCTTCACTAATGGTGCAATATGACACATACAAGTGGACAGCATGCATGCCAGACCACCAAATCATCTCCTTAATTTGAGCAAGGGTCTTCTGCTGACTCAGGTAGCCAGCAGAAAGGACACTGTGGCATGTGAAAAGTACTAACGACCGCATGGCCACAGGTGCTCAAGATTCACTGCCCATGCATCGATGATAAAGGACACCATCTTGAACGATCTACGCCAACAAGAGTCGTTTGAGGCGGAGCTCAGCAATACTGGCATCGCCAGAAAAAAGGTGCCGGACAATGTCAGAGATTTGGGTACCCTTTGATAGTGCAGACCAAAGATCGAGCACTGCAAGCGCTGGAAGAGGATAGTGTGTCATGACCATAGCTCGGCATACTCACTCATGAGTACACTCACTCACACTCATTCATACTCATTAGAACATGATGAGTGTGAGTATGAGTGAGTACTGATGAGTATGAGTAGGAGTGAGTAGAACCTGAGTGAGTACTTATGAGTATGAGTAAGAGTGAGTACGGACGTGAATGAGTACTTTCAGTGTGAGTAGAAGTGAGTATGAACGTGAGTGGGTACTCATGAGTGTGAGTAGGACTGAGTATGAACGTGAATGAGTATTCTGAGTGTGAATAGGAGTGAGTATGAACGTGAGTGACTACTCTGAGTATGAGTATAAGTGAGTATGGATGTGAGTGAGTACTCTGAGTGTGAGTAGAATTGAGTATGAACGTGAGTGAGTATTGTGAGTGTGAGTAAGAGTGAGTATAAACGTGAATGAGTACTTTGAGTGTGAGTATGAGTGAGTATGAATGTGAGTGAGTACTCATGAGTGTGAGTAGATGTGAATTTCAATGTGAGTGAGTACTCATCAGTGTGAGTATTCGTGAGTATGAACATGAGTGAGTATTCATCAGTGTGAGTAGGAATGAGTGAGAGCTTGTGAGTGTGAGTAGGAGAGAGTATGAACGTGAGTACTCATGAGTGTGAGTGGGAGTTTGAACATGAGTGAGTACTGATGAGTGTGATTATTCGTTAGTATGAACGTGAGTATTCATGAGTGTGATTAGGAGTGAGTGAGAGCTCATGAGTGTGAGTAGGAGTAAGTACGAACATGGGTGACTACTCATGAGTGTGAGTAGACTTGACTGTGAAGGTGAGTGAGTTGCTGTGAGTGTGAGTAGCAATGAGTAGGAACATAAGTGAGTTACTATGAGTGTGATAAATATTTGTAACCATCGCAACGGCATCCTCAATACATTGGAAATAACGGGCACTATGGCATGCAAGCTTCCTGTACGTAAAAGCCTTCAGTTAGTTTGGAAACTGGGGGAGCCATCCTACATCAGATGGGGGGGGGGGCGAGGTGACTGCGCAAAACTCGAGTTGAGGGTAGCTGTCCATTTTATTGTATTTTGAATTTTCTAGTGTGAATAACTTTGAATTGCCTGTCCCTATAGCTACCGTTCTTGCTGCACTTAGCTCTTGCGCCTTCAGTCTACACAACCCGCTGATAATACATGTAAAACAACAAGGTCTTGAGAAGCCCTTTAACAAAAATCACCACGCGAGCCGGTTCAGAAAAAAGAAATGCACTGCGCAAGTAACAAAAAAAAATGCTGAAATGGCCCGCGAGAGAAAGCACATTGTGTGCGCGACGCACATTGTGCGCAGCGATTTTGCAGTTTCTATCTCTGCGTTGTCCCTTGAACGAAAACCTTAAGTGATCTCATGACCTCTCAAGTGCGAAGCTGTGTGCAAACTTCGCCTTCTCAGTGCCCCATTAAGAAAAAAAAGGAAAGCTTGGAGGTCGGTTAAGCTTCGCCGTCAATAGTATAGTATGCGATAGCGTAATTGGACCCTGTTCGCATCGCTGTTTCAATCTCTAACCTCGCTTCACTTTTCAGCGGCTTATTATGCCTTCAACAGTGCAGACACAATGTGCAATAAGCCCCCAATCACCCTTGATAATTTATTCTATCATTCACATAATGCAGGCTAGTACAAAAACACACATAATGCAACTCGTTAATTACCGTTTCATTCGGCTGTGCGCGATAACCCTGCATACGCACACTGCCAATGAACGTTAACCGCGTCCGCAGATCCATAAATAAGGCCCCCTGCAATCGTCAGTGCCGGCACGGAGCCGACAAAGTCTCTGCGAGAGCGCGACTCACAAAAGAAGGAAAACATCTCCGAAGATGCGCACAATTTCTCGAATTCAAAACTGCCGTATGCAATGCATTCCATCTGATGGCGAGGCAGAGAGGGGAGGCGCTGTCACGACGGTCGCGCCGAGCCACAGAACAGTTACCAGTGGCCGAAGTGGCCGCGGCGCCGACGTGGCGGCGAGGCCCCGGCGCCCACCTATCCCGCTAGTGCAGTCAGAAGGGGCTAGGGGCAGTGGAACGAACGAAGCGGCCAAGCCGGATGGCATGGCAACGACTTGGGTTCTGGCGGGTAATCATAGTGGGGGCTGTGTAGTATACTGAAGCTGTCGAGAGCGTCTCTATTTCGCGCGCGTGCGTCGTAGCCTACGAAAGTGCGTTTTGAGTGCTTGTAACACATTCCTGAGATTCCAAACGATGTCTCAGCGTCTCCTAGGCGTCATGGCACACAAATGAATGTGCAGGTGCGTCGTAATTGCGCTGAGTCATTGCCTGTTTGTGGAGCCTACCGACCCTTAAAGAAAGCGGCAATTGTTCAGCTCGATTGTTTCTTGAGTAACCTGAGTACACGTAACGCTACCTCAATGTTAATATTCATCATCGGCCTGACAACATCCACTGCAGGACAAAGGCCTCTCCCATGATCCGCCACTCAACTCGGTCCTGTGCTTGCTGCTGCCATTATGTACCCGCGAACTTCCTAATCTCATCTGCCCACCTAACTTACTGTATCCCCCTAACCCGTTTGCTTTCTCTGGAAATCTGGTCAGTTATGCTTAATGACCAGCTGTTATCCTGCCTACGCGCTACATGCCCGGCCCA